TTTTCTAAATTGTTTCAGAATTATCGAAAAGTAGTTAAATGGAGCGAGACAACTGTGTTTTGCGACACACAGCATGCATTTTGAATAAATCTATCTTCATTTAAATGTAATACAATTTTTATACCATTATCAACAGCATATGGTTATTTTTTGAAACTAAATATATTTTGTGCTTCATAATTAGTGTTGGATTTTATTATTGTAAACCGTGTTCTCAGCAAAACTGCTGAAAGAGACATTCCCCTTATTGGGGATATTTTATGAATACATGTTCATGAAATAATTATTCAATATCGGAAATATCATTTTCAGCAGATTTCAAATTGCGAACAAACGAAATCCCCGGCACATTCCTAGCATTCCTTATTTCAGACGCATTCTCGGCATTCTTTCGATAGTTCCTCCAGATCTCTAGACAAGTAGGTGGCGTAACCATCTGACAAACGTCAACGGTGTTGCCATTGTTTAACGACCTTTTGATGGGGTCATACAAGCAGCTAAAATAAATGACTCAACTTTGAAAACACGCTGTATAACAAATTTATACACAATACATTTGCGTAGAGATGAACTCGTCATCTTTATAAATCTTTTGTATTTTTTTAAAGTGCCACAGTGTGTGACTAGTTTTAATAAGCAGGTAGGTATAGTTTATCTTGTTTTTGGTTGGTTTAATAATGGCAGCGAGGATGTTTCAAATGTAATTATCGTCGAACGTCTATTTTCTGTTGAACTATACTAAGTGACATATAAATCCGAACACACACTGCTTTTTTTTAATTCACTAACGCTCTAAAAATGAATATTTCAGCCGCAGTAAAGACTCAACGTTGGCGGATATTGGTTCTTGACATCCTTTACGATCGGTTACGATGCCTAGAGTACGGAGACCTGTACGATTTCGTCAACTTAGTGAGTTTGATAGGGGCCGTATAGTGGGACTTCGGGAAGCTGGACTTTCTTTCGGGCAATTGCAGTTAGAGTGTAAAGAAGTGTAGACACTGTGGTTAGATGTTGTCAGGCATGGCTTCGAGAAGGCCGTACGCAAAGAGCAAGGGGCACTGGACGCCGCCGTAGAACAACAGACCGTGAAGATCGCCGCCTAAGATTATTCGCCTTAAGGGACCGTTTCTCCACTACCAGGTCCATTGCAAATGAATGGTTTGCAGAACACGGAAGACCTATTGGCATGCAAAGTGTTTACCGACGAATGAGAAGTTTTGGCTTGTTTTCATACCGGCCACACTGGGTCCTCCCTTTAACTCGAGAACACCGACGTAATCGCCTTGAGTGGTGCAGACAACGGTCACTCTGGGATCAGGAATGGAACAGTATTGTTTTCAGTGACGAGTCTCGATTTTGTTTAGGCATGCACGATGGTCGTGCCAGGGTTAGAGGGCGACGTGGTGAAAGGAGGAATCCACAGTTTTTTGTTGAAAGACATGTTCATCACACTGTTGGAGTTAAGGTTTGGGGTGCTATAGCTTATGGTTCCAGGTCACCTTTAATCTTCATCAGAGGTAACATGAACGCGCAGCGTTATATCCACGAAGTTCTAGAACCCCATCTTTTACCCTATCTTGACACCCTGGCAGATCCAACTTTCCAACAAGATAATGCCCGACCACATGTTGCAAGGGTCACAATAGACTTCTTTCAACATAATGATGTCACATTGTTACCATGGCCACCAAGATCTCCCGACTTATCCCCAATTGAGCACGTGTGGGATATGATGGGTAGGAGATTGCTCAATTTGCAACGTCCTCCTCAGACTCTAGAAGCACTTCGAGAGGAGTTGGTGGTTGCCTGGAATGAGATACCACAGGAGGACATTGACCACCTGATCAGAAGCATGCCTAGGCGCGTTGGAGAATGCGTAGCACATCAGGGTGCATCCACACATTATTAAAGGTCAAAGGGCTTTAAAGCAGTGCAATCATTTTGAAATTTTTATCATTTACTTATTATGCTTCATTAAGTACTTATACAAAATTTTATTAAAATAAAACCATTTAAACTGGGTGTCACTTAGTATATTTTATGATGCAATTGGAAATATTGAAATTAATGAAATTAAACTGGATTCAAAGGTTTTGATAAGGTGAACATACTCGTAGTAACAGAATGTATAGATACCTGTCAATAGATTTGACGCCACTTTTTAAATGTAATGTATTTACTTACATGATTATTATATGTTGTATATTATTTTACAGAATATATAAGGATGGAAACTTGGAAACTATATATCTTAATGACTAATTCCTATAACGACTACGTTTTTCAAGTTAGCATAATTAATAACACTTTGTATACATTTGTTTGTAAATCGAGGATAACAGAGAGACAAGTGTTACCGATCAGAATCCTTTTTTTTTAAATATCGAAGCAGCCGCGCAGGCAGAAACCTAAATGCCGGAACACCGCGGCTGCTATGACAATCCCAAAGAAATTTTGTTTAATACGATTTTTGAATTGTCTAAGGTTAGTAGAACTGGGAAAAGCTTCGTCTTGTAGATTGTTGCACAATATCGACACCCTCGGGACAAAGGAGCGGTCGTATCGGCCAATTCTGGATGTACGAAGTTCGACACGGTTAGGATGGGACGCCAAAGTCAGGCGGGTCTGTCTGGCAGGGACATTGCGCGACGGCATCATGGAAGAGAGGTCTGAGGAGCAAAGGCCGTTGGTGTAGCGATAAAAAAGAGCTAGATCGCCGACGGCCCGCCGGTGCGAAAGAGTCCCGAGACTGTCTGTTAGAGAAGAGTCATCGATCAGTCGGACCGTCCTCTGGACATCACCGAGCATGACCGATCTTTGGGGAACGGGAACACCCGCATTGACGTTGTGGGATGAAGAGGAGAACCCGTCAATTACGACGGATATGTTGCGGCCAGAGATAAAGTCAGCCACCCATCTGCAAAGCTTTTCTGGGAGGCCATAGGATGGAAGTTTGCTTAAGAGGACAGCGTGCCACAGCTGATCGAACACTTTCGTGATGGCAAGAGCAACAACATGAGCCTCACCATAAGACTGGATGAGTTTACTCCATAATTGCGTGACGTAAGCTAGGAGGTCCCCTGTGGATCGTTGGTGCCGGAAACCATACTGCCTGTCGCTAATCAAGCTATGACGTTCGAGGTAGTCCAGAAGCTCGCGATTTATGCACCTCTCCACCACCTTACTGATAACAGAAAGCAGAGCTATAGGCCTGTAGTTGTAAGGGTCGGTCTTAGATCCTGTTTTGGGATGGGTTGGACATGAGCAAATTAGAAGTTTTCTGGGAAGGCGCTGGATTCATAAGATATCTGGAAGAGACGCGAAAGAACTAGAGCAAGCTCCGCTGCATATCTCTTCAGTACAATAGCAGGAATCATGTCCGGACCAGAAGCTTTGTTGATGTCGAGCGACAAGAGCACTCGTCTTACGGTCTTATGCCTGAATGTTACCTCCCGCATAGTGTAGGGAACCCTTTGCATTGACGGCGCTTGGGTGTTGGGGAAATGTCCATGGTGGAGTTGGCAGCACAGATCTTGGCTAGTACTTCCGCCTTGGCTTTGAATCGGATACAATCGTTCCATCCTGACACGTAAATGGTGGAAGGCTACTGTGTAAGAAGTTCTCTTCAATCTGCTTGTCCAGCATCCAGAAAGGCCGACTGCCATTGCGCTGCGACATTACCCTGTGCCTCTACAGTGGGGTTCTGTAAGAAGGTTCTGTGTGCCTTGATCTTCTGCTGGCGAGCAGTGTCACACGATTTGTTAAACCAGCCGTTGGACCCTGGTTTAGACACTTTCGCTGTGTGAGGGATGTATTCCTCCATTCCGACGTGGATAATTTCTGTTATCGACGAACAGACAGCCGACGCATCCGCGTCAGTAAAACAGACATCTTCCCAAGGAAAGCTAGGGAAGAAGTCTCTGAGCCCCTCCCAGTCGACATGTCCGTAATGCCAAGTTTTACGACCTGTACGAGTTTCTACTGCCACAACGGATCCCCGTCCTTTTGTGTTTTCAGAATCCTGATGAAGGCTTCTTAGAGAATGCCGAAAGTTTGATTTTATCGTGAAAAGAGTCAACTTAAGCCTAAAAATTTGCCAATTTCCCAATCAACAATTAATTGTATTTTGTGCCCAACTATATATATACAGGGTGACTTCGAAGTTGAGTCATTTATTTTAACAGTGAGTAGATCTGATCAAAAGAAATGTTTTTTCCTTTACCATTTTTCTGGTAAAATTAAAGTAACAAAGTTATAGCCCTTTGGAAGTTTGAGTACCGCCCTGTCTCAATAATAATATGTTCGTGTTTGGCGACAACGGATATAATCCGCCTGACCTGTTCTTCGCATCGGAAACAAAAAAGCGAAAGAATTTGAAACGTTTATCACGATGTTTTTCGTCAGTCGCGTTAGTGTTTGTGTTTGTGTTTGTATGTGTGTTTGTTGCGTGGCTCAAACGAAATCAAAAATGGCACATGTTTACGAAAATGCTGAACTTGTGGACATGATTCTTATTTACGGGGGGGCAGTATTTACAAAATGCTCCCGGATGCATCACGGATTTATGCGAATCGGTTTCCCAATCGAGTGCAACCAACCCCTCGTGCCTTTGTTAATGTAGTACAAAGGGCTCGTGAATCAGGTGACTTAAGACCTCACAGGTCAGGGCATGCTGCTCCAAGACCACACGATCAAATACAGGTCCGCACTGAAATACTTGTCGGGACGATACTTTATTAAACAAGGTAAAATTTTTTTTTATTTATTTTTTTATTTTTACACACATATTTTGGTTTATCTTCCTTCTACAATCATTATCTGAAAATTAATGACTCAACTTCAAAGTCACCCTGTATAAATATATAAGACCTAGATGATGACTTAGCTTTTGATTGAATGAAATAAATAAACATAATATCCGCAACACTATTCCTCAAAACTTCGTGTTCCAAATCAGCCTATTCCATACCAACAAAATGCAATGATGTATCACTCACCTCTGGTAACGGTTTTGGCTCTCTCAAGTGTACTCCTCCTCCAAAGGATATGGTGTTCTGTCCTATCAGTTTTGCACCTTGTAACATCGGGTGTATATTCAACAGTAACAAGTCAGCTGTGCTCATCAATCGGTGGATAGTTGGGACCTCCGGGCCCATATATTTCTGAAGAACCGTATGCCTCATTGGTGAGATGTAAAAGTTTCTGAAATGAAATGTCCTGTATTTAATTATGTTTTGTGTGTGAATTCGGCTTGCCACTCTCGGAATGTCCAGGTGGCGGGTGGACTCAAGGGACAACATCGGTGATAAAATTTGATTCTCGAACATTTGCGTGATTAACAGCACGGTATCCTTTTATCTTGATAATGATTTTGTTAAATAATTTTTAATAATGCAAACTAACTCTCTTATGATGCAACTTTTATATAATTGATTTTTGGTATATCAACTTCTTTTGACGAGTTCTACAAGCTCTTAAAATAAATGACTGAATTTTGAAAACGCCACGTATTTTTTTTATTGTCGTCTAAATAATCAGTTAGGTGAGTAAAAGCTTCAGCCTTAGTGTACTCTTATTACTTTATTCTCTAACTTTCGATGAACTTTGTCATCATCATCAGGAGAAAGGTAGCTGAGATTGTTGCTAAATGTTATATACTCAGTGACATTAGAAGTGTTACACCCAGAAGAAACAGTTTCATCAACTTGGTATTTTGGCAGTGAGGTATTCTTACATCAAGAATGAAACGATAACATTCTCGCGAAATTTTAATGACAAGTTAAAAGAAAAAAAATGATGCGTTGGGCGACCCCGCATCTAAATGACTAGCAAAAAATAATTTCCAGTTTTTCGCTGATATTTTCAAAACCAATTGACCGATCTTAAATCTGAAGCCGGCTTTCGAAAGCACTAAGTTTCCTCTCCCCTTTTGATCTTTGCTGTAGGTATAACAGGGGCGGAGATCCCTGCATAGAGAAGCGAATCTGGGATACACTGTATACACCTTTCAGAAACATTGCATTCATATTTTGTAAGGATTTTTTACGATTATTACAATGTAAAATTTCTGGAATATTTCAGAGAAATATTGTGCTGAACGGGTCTGGGTTCTTGTGATTCAAATAAATAATTTCCCATACCTGAAAAACCAAGTGATCGCATAGTGCAGAGTACTTCCGAGTCTATCCCAAAATGTGGTATTCAGGTTGCCTCGGCAAGCATAATACTTCTCCGAGTATACAACTGGATGGTACGAGTTTCCCATGGCACGGTGAACTGACGTTAACGTATCCGTCGAATGGATTAAAATAGTTGGACACTTATAAACTTGACCGAATACAAGGAACTCCGGGAAAAGGTCTTCCACTACGACCAAGTCGAATTTCTTCGAGGAATTATTCTTCAACAGATCTCGAACCGCGTCGCTTTCAAAGAAAGTCGTTACGATATTCTTTACGAGCCTCGACAGAGCTGAAATCAGAGTCGGAAGGCTACCTTTATCCATCAGGCCGTTTATTTCCTCTTTGTGTTTGTAGACGTCGTGAAAATTGTGCTCTGTGAGATTGCTCAGCGAACGGTTTCCAATGGGATCTGTTGTTAAGAGGGTCACTTGATTTCCTCTCAGGGATAATTCCTTCCATAACGGCCAAAATGCGGACTGATGACTGAACGCCGGGGTAGGTACTATTGCCAGAATATTTGCACACGAGGAAAACGGTACGAAAAGAATTGAAATCAACGCTATCACTTTCATTGTGGAGCGAACTATAATACACTTGTGCTCTTCAAGTACTTCTGATATTTATAGAATGATAACGCAATTCTTATCATACTCTAACAGCCTACTTGACTCATATCTAATTTCATAGAATAAATGTGTATTTCTTGCAATATGACGCTTAGAAAAACGAGATTCAATTTTTAAAAGCACAAGATGGATACACAGACTGTAACGAAAGTTTGGAACGCATCGAATATCTAACGAATGCCTCTTCTAATTTTTTAAAAAATTGGTACGTTCAGGTTCGAAACCACGGCAGCTCGGGTATCACGTATCTTGAAAAGACACATTTTTGGACATTATGTAGGTTATTCTACAAGATGCTAACTTAGCACTTAGTTGTACGTGTTGCCTAAACGTCATGATTCTTATTATCAATCTTTGGCTTTGATGTGATGTAAAATCTACTTCTGAGATGGCATTACTGGAGGTCTAGGCTGTAAATTGTATGTGTTCATGATAATTACATTGGGTTCTTGTCTCAAATACACTTAACTAAAATTCAAAGCTAGAAACTAGTTGCGCATCCACTTTTTCTTATCCATTCTGGAAATAATATATATACAAATTTGTTGAATTTCAAAAATGAGAGAGATAAGAAACAATTATATTCACTGTACACTGTCGTATTACAAGCCATATACATGCTAACAGTAATTACCCACCACGCGAGCGCGGTCATGATTTCTCGTTCTTCGTAATTTATAACTTTGAACATAACCTCTCTTCAGAAAGCACAACATATAAATAACCCGTCATATTCGGCATATTCAGTAATGATTTTCTCACACAGCAAATATCACTGATTTTATACACATGCAGGCCAATGCACATAATCATCCAGATACGATCTTGCTATTCAACCAACATTCTTCTCAGAGATAAAAACTACAGACCCGCATCACTCATCCTCACAAAGCTATGCAACCAATAATGCGTAGGTTAGTTGAGTGATTCCTCCACAGATGGACGATCCTAGTGAGCAAACGTGGAATGACTGTTTGCGCCCTAAAAACTACCTATTCTGCAAGTTTTTTTACATGATACCCGTGCGGATCCGTTGATGATATCCGCGACGTTACCAAATCATTTTATTTGATATTCAACATGGCCATGCAAGACAACTGTTTAAATATACTCTACTAGACTCTAGAAGACTATCGGTAGAGGATTTTTCCCAAGATTGTTACAAAGCACTTAAAAAAATGCAAATGAAAATTGGAAAATTGGTACCTTGACGTTAGAAATGGTCCCATCAGTACCTGGGGATAGACGTATGTTTTGACAGTTGACGTTGTTATTCTTGTCATCTGGCTTGCGGTATTGCCAGTTCATAGGACGATTTTGCTATCTCTGCTATTTTGCCAGAATATTATAAAAAAAGAAAGAAAGAAGGATTGAATAAAATATTGGGGAATACCATTAAAGATACATAAGATTTAAGGCGTAATAATGTTTGCCTAAAAGCTAAAGGTGATTCAGGTAAATATATTATACGTCCAAGAACAAATGAAACAATTGTTTTTGTCTTATGTAAATTTGTATTTTTACTAATTGTTATCAAATTTTTAATCATTTATATCTCGTGTCCCCAATTTGCACATAAACATAAAACAATTATTTATATTATAGATTTTGTTGTATATCAAAAGTGTGTCTAGGTATATTGGATTGACATTTTACAGTAAGGTACTATGCATAATACTAAAAATAATTCATTCAACTAAGAACTTAACTTTTTGAAGAGGAATATCGTAAAAGAAGTAAAAAATATATATTTTTATACAAATTTATTATAGATATCCAAGGACATATAATTTTACAAAACCTCACAATAATTGTCAGACACACTTTTTGTAATCTGCAATTTATCAATCAAGTTATAACAGTATAAGTTATCATTATTACAATGTAATATTATACCTACAAGACCAGTCGATCGAGGCGGTACCACCTGCCAGGTTTTTCCAGGGTGTTTTATAAATGTACGCATGCTTCCACACCTAAGCTATGCAGTCGGTTATCTTCCAAAGCAAAGAAATTAATGATGATGGATCCCTCGAGCACTAAGAAATCCGGATGTAAGCTCACTCCACTCTCGGAATGTCCGGGTGGAGGGTGGGCTCGGGGCTCGAGGGAACAACATCGACTATAAAATTTGTTTTACGAACATCTGCAGAATTAACAGCAACATTGATGCTGTTCATCACTACTGCACCGATTAACCATCTCAGCTTCCCAAATTACGAGGTGCACTCTAATCTGAGAAAGAACGTGTTAGTTGTGGCTTTTTTCTGCAGCAGTCTTTCCTGCTCTAGAGATATTTCTTTGGAATCCGACCGGAGGACATTCTGTGCCTTCGCCTTAACTCCAAAACAGCCCTCAAATTTATTTGCTGCCTTTATCGTTCTTCCTCGAACCATAACTGGAATGACCTACTTCAATACCTCGCCGTCAAGATCGACTTCCTGAACATCAATCACCCCGCTTCAGAGGTAGTTCTCCTCGGTGATTTCAGTGCCCATAATGAGCTTTGGTTGAGCTCAAACAAGACCGATGCAGCAGATCGTTCGGTCGACGCCTTCGCACTTACTCAAGGGCTGACCTCCCTGGTGACGAGCCCTACTTTTTTCAACCCCAACCCCTCACATGCCTAGGTCTTCTTTTCTACCGCTACACCAACGGCCTGCCAGACAGACCCGCCTGACTTTGGTGTCCCATCGTAACCATGCCGAATTTCATACATCCAGATCTGGGCGATACGACCACTCCTTTGTCCCGAGGGTGTCGAGATTGTGGAACAATCTACAAGAGGAAGCTTTTCCTAGTTCTACTAACCTTAGGCAGTTCAAAAATCGTACTAACAGAATTTCTTTGGGATCATCATAGCAGCCGCGTTGTTCTGGCATTTAGGCTTTTGCCCGCGCGGCTGCTTCGATCTAAAAAAAAATGCCAGTTGCTCTACCCCAGCATGGAATACTGTGTCACATGTGGCTAATATACAAATGCCTAGTAAAGAGATAACAGAGATGTTTCATCTAAATATTGTTTCATGTGAAATAATGCAAAGAAGCTTTTGTTTAAATTGCAGCAGATATTGCTTATCTGAGATTCAAAAGTCATTTCTGCATCAAACCAGCTACCAAGAAGCTTAACATTGTCTACCAATTTTTTTATTTAATATCAACTTATTCCTTTCACACCAAACCTGCATCTCTTCAAAAACTATCAAGATGTTCTTATAAAGTTCTGCAACAGAACTGCCAGAAACAGTGATTGTAGTATCATCGGCAAACATTGTGCCTTTATATTTTGAAATGAAGTTTGGAAGGTGATTCATGAACAGTATAAATAACAACGGTCCCAAAACCTATCCTTGCGGTAAACCAAGGTAGACTGGGTATCTATCAGACATTAATTTATCAATGTTTACAATAATACTTCTGTTGGCTAAGTATAATTCGATCCACTTTAAAATAATGCCTATAAGACAACCAACGAAATGGCCTTGATACAGTTGTGACTAGACATAATTTAAAAGTTCAAAGGTAGCCGTCTCCATAGACTTATTTTGCTTAAAACCATGCTGGGCATCAGATAAGGTGTTGAATGTTATCTACAGAAAAGTCAGTAATAATTGTATGTATAGTAATTTAATAACATGAATTTCTAAAAAATAAAATAATCCTATCACAATCTGGTAAAAATGTTGTCCTGGTCAGGTATGTCCCAGCCGAATTTGTGATGGCTCATCCATGGTGGTGCCTGAAATAATTAAAAAATAGGAAATATTCGAAAATGACTTACCTGGTGGCATTCAACTTTTTCATTTTACTTGAATTGACCATCAGACGTTTCAAAAGGTGATTTCAAGGAATTGTTATCTTTAATATATTTAAAGATTGTCAGTCTGATGCATTTGTTAATGATATTTTTGAGGACATCATGAACATTGCAAGAATGAAAATGTTTAAGCAGTTTCATCAGACCTGTTTTGAAGAAGGCTTGAATGTTAGGCAAATGGGTGAACTTATCCAAAAAACTATACAGTTTTACATGGATAACATCTAGTAGATGACTAAGTTTGTCATTTGCATATGTCACTCTCTGCTTGTTGGTCTGTTCGTTGACATGAACATACAAGTGTAATGGGGTCAACTCATCAGAGAACGGTGCTTCCCGACATGTAGGGCATTGGGGGATGTTAACATCTCTTTCCACAACTTCTCTAACAGGATGACCAGCAGCATAGGGAGTAGCGTAGTTTTTGGTTCCGTCGACAGATCCATCACTTTCATCTCCAGAAGTTTCAACTTTAAAATTACAACTCAGTGAAGAATTACAAGGTAACTGCTGTCTATTCAGACAATAGTGTTCTAAAAACAACGCGAAGTTACCTAGTGCTTACATGAATCGTCTTCACAATTCTTGCTTTTTGTCAATGTGGAATTGAAATTGTTGATTACTACAGTTTTTAATGCTGCAATAAACTGGTGGCAGGTGGGGTTCGTGTTGGAAATCCCATTTTGCCTAATCTGACAGGTGGATAATAGCCCTGATAGTGATTTGCCAACCATGTTGAAACTTGAAGTTCGTACGTCGGGAACCATCATTAATGTCCAATATTCTCCAGTTTTTTATTTTTGGAAAAATGTCCTCCCAAAATTGCAAATTTCTTACTATGCTGTGGCTTCAAATTTGAACCATTGAGAGAGTCAAACAATTGATCTATCAGATGAACAAACTCTGCTATTTGTAGTGCTTCAGTGGGTAAGTCACCTGATGCAACAAATGTCTCTACGGGTGCAGCGACAGTGTGGCTAAGCAATTGAGCTGTCATTTTAACTTTCATCTTCATAAATGAATCTCCAAAATTAAAATGGCTGGGCGTCAATTTACATAACTGATTGTATGTTCTTGTGTGCTCTGTGGATATGCTCAAGCTTTGCAGTTTTTCCACTTTCATATTCAATGATATTGTCAATACGAGCATTTCGAGTATTTTTCAATAAATGTGAAACATCAGAGATTGTAAAATTCTCTGA